AATCATTTCATTACAACACCCATCTATCTATTATGGTTCAAAAGTTATCACAATATCAATATTTTGTAGGTAAACACTTGTAGGTCAAATGTCCCATTGTAGGTCAAATGTCCCATTGTAGGTCAAATGTCCTGTAGGTCAAATGACCGAATACCTTTAAGAGTTGTTAATATAATTGAGTTAGTGTTAAATAATGACTATATTTAAATGAATAGTTATGAATGTATTGTATGCATTGATGTCAATTAATTTTTTTAAAAATAAATCGATGCCAAACATGAGGAATACATTCATTACTATTTCTATTCAACAATTGTTTAAATAATAAATTATATTTAATTACAATATTTTAATTATTATCTAATCTTATACTAATTTATATACTTAGTAATTAGTTGTATTAAATAAATTAAAAACAAGGATAATCATATTATATATCTTATTAGACTATAGAATATCGAGTAAATTTGCATCTAATGTTAAAGAATTACGTCTGAAAATTTTTTTCAATAAATAATACCCTATACATAGCCCCCATTTTTTGTTCGACGTACTACATGTTGATCAATTTAAGCCCACCCCACTTTTCTATTCGGGCAACTTTCTATAAGGGCAACTAATTGTCAAATCACCATGGTGTTGCCCTTATAGATAACAGATTGTATATTAAGTGTAATTAAACCTAAAGTGAAACATTGTATCAAAACAACCATTAAACACAAAATATTAATTATGAAGTCATTTTGAACAAACAATTATTTCTAGAAAATTGCAAATTAATTTTTGTAGCTAATAATAAATTAACACTAATAAATATATTTTGTGAGTTTACATGTTTTTGTGGTTAAATCAATAAAATGTCAAAATATGCTACAAATAATTATTTTATGTAAACTAAAGCAATAACATGAAATATTAAGTTTACTTCCAATAAACAATTAATATGACCCTGGTCAAGGTTTTATGCATTTAATTTTGAGATTTTTTACAATTTAGTTTTATATTTATGTTAATTATAAAATCTATTGCATTTCTAATTAAAATATTTATTTATATATATTTTAAATAAAACCTATTAACAACTAGTATCTAATTAAGTAAATAAAACAATTAAACCGTGTTAGGTTAGAATATAATTAAGTAGCATACACAATTAGAAATAGTTTTATATTACAATAGATAGTAGATGATTAATCTAATCATACTGCACAAATATGTAGTAATGGTCTGAATTTGTGAGCATGCTTAGTTATTAGACCACTCATGTAATGTACAATAAATATTCGTGTTGCACAGAATATTGTGAACAATATAAAGAATATTCTTGAATAGAATTTAGTGTTTATGTCAAATGAAACATAAATTAAAAAGTCAATGATTGGTGTGGATATGAAATACACGAAAAATTCAATGATTTTCATAAATTGTGTATAAAATCTCTATTTTTTGTAATAAGTCGGTGGCTATTAATCGTGTTCATGTATAATGAACATTTAAATATTTTTAGTTAAATTATAGTTAAATTTTTTTTAAAAATAATATATTTGTGTAAGTTTGCATGTATTGTTAAATATAACATATTATCTTTAGCAAATAAACCCTTATACCCCTAAGTAGGGCTGCCACCCGTCCTCCTTTTGGAGGATTGTCCTCCAATCATCCCCTCAACAAACAGCCCTCCCGAGGGTCTCAGGAGGACAATATAATATCCACCCAGAGATATTTGCCAAAATAATTCAAATATTAATTTGATTATTAGTTTAATTTGTAAATATAGTTAATATTACTTTTGATCTGAATATAAGATATTTATATAAATTGTGAAATCATTGTTTGGAGGACAATACCAAGTGCTTTAAGCATTAATATAATAGTTTTTCTTATTATTATGAGTTCAAGAGACAAAATTATAAATAAATCCTTTTTGTCCTCCCAATGTCCTCCTGACCATCAATTTGGCAATTTGTCCTCCCGGGCCCTCAAAATAGGTGGCAGCCCTACCCTTAAGCAAGCTTAAGCTTATACCTTTATACAAACTTATACTCTTATGTATCTCATAATATAACACATGTAATTTCAGAAATATTATTCATAAATGCGTTCAATACTTATATACAAATGTTTACAAGTTTTCGACATATGCTGCTTAATATTATTTAATAATACTACAGTAATAAATATTGCAGTACAATAATCATACAATAGATAGTAGATAGGTCAAATGTAGTACGATAACTTTATCAACTATTTTTCAACGAAATACTTAGCTTTGTTATCATTTTTCTACGTTTTAATATAATAACATAACTGATCAGACCTGGTATAATTAGTGCTCCAAGAATTAAAAGTAATATAGTATCAAATGACCAAGGTGTGAATGGAAAACAATCGATATTTGAATAATAATTTTAGAATTATGAAAACTTGAAAATACTTTTGTTATAAAATAATTTAATATTAATTACTAATATTTATTTTACGGTTATTAATGTAACCGGTTATAAATAAAAATATCTCGAGTACATACGATTTAATAATAAGCTCATAAGCTACAAATATTAGTCCGGATGCAATCATTTCTGTGTATTTAAGAAATTAAGTCAATATTCTCTAACTTTCTTCAATTCCTTTGTATTTTTCATTAAAATATTGAATGAAAAACTTGTAATCGTTTTGTTGAATGAGTTTTAATGTGGGATCAGTTTTGAGACAATTCTCATGAATAGACCATAAGTTATATTCCGATAATACTTGTGAACACTCGGGTCTGTCTGTCCAGTGATGTAAGCTGGGTATGTCCGGGTAATCCCAGTTATAATATGACATTGAATGCAATACTTGTATTAATTTAAGCACACATTTGTTCACAACTTCATTGTCTGAATACATTTCAAAGCTAAAGAATATATTCAAATAAATGAAAACTCAAATAATTTAAATAATAATTCACATTAAAACTCACGAATCTTCAAAATGAATCTCAAAAATATCTTTTTCAGCAATTATAGCCAAACTGTAGACATCTATCATATGGTTATAGACCACTCCCTGACCCACTTCTGGTGCCTGATATCTCAGGTCTCCCTTATCTGACGAGTGCTGGTGAACAGTAGCCAAACCAAAGTCACATATTTTGAAAAACCTGCCGTTCCTTACAGTCTTCGCCACTAATATATTGTCGGGTTTAAGGTCTCTATGAATGACCGGGGGATTTAATTCATGTAAATATTGAACGCATTCTAAGATCTCTTTGAATATATGACACGAAATGTAAAATTCGATTGAATTCATGGGTTCTNAGATCTCTTTGAATATATGACACGAAATGTAAAATTCGATTGAATTCATGGGTTCTCCCGGTTGTCGACCAAATACTTGTGGTTTGTGTTGAAGAATATTCTGCAGACTATAGGAACACAACTCCATTTGAATATAATAAATACCGTTTTCCCACCATTGAGCCATATATTGGACACAATATTCTGACCTAACTTTTATCAATTTTTGCATTTCTTGCATACATTCCCTGAAATTGTCATCACCTATAAATGTATTAATTTTCATAATTATTAATAATTCGAAATTTACCGAAAAATTATTTTAAAATATATTTTAATACTGTAATAGTTATACTAAATATATCAAAATATCATTAACTTACTTTCAAGTGTTATTTTCTTAACCGCATATTCTTGTCCATCATATTTCTCTTTAGCGACAAATACTTCCCCAAAAGCTCCCGAACCTAATGAATGCAACTCTTCGTACAAACGCTTGTATTCATTCACTTCGGAAACAACTATAAAACAAATTAAATCAATCCATTCATTAAGTTTTTTAAAAATGTCATTCAAAAGTATGTATTCAGAAGAGAGGGGTATAAGTCAGAAGCTAACAGTAAATTTAATTAATTATTCATTTTTGCATAAACTAAATTCAACTAATTTGGTAAGAAAGCTTAATTGTTTAAAACGTTTTAAATAAAATAAAATAATGAGAGTTGGATTTAGGGTTCGAAAAGAGACAATTGTAAAATGTACTAGTTAATTAAATTAATTTTGTAACTAATTTCAAGGATATTTTTATATCAATCTTGCTTATTTGGCCTTATTTAAAAAGTAAATTAAGTTATTACTCAATAGTGATCTTGATCAAATCAAACTGCGCGTGGAATGTTGTAATTTAAAAAATACAATACTATCGATAATACTCTATTAGTCGTGAAATCAATGACTGACTGGCTGTACGTACTCTATGAATGATACATAATCCCAATTCATACCATTGGTCTCTTTTATAGAATAAAATACTTTTTCCAAATAATCCAAACATTTTGCACTAAATTCTTTGCAATTCTTATAATTATATTCCTTATAATCACACAAATTAATGGTTTTATGAGTCATTTGATACTTATTTGTGAAAAAGTCGAAGAAATTTGTATAATTTGATTGAATTATAGAATTCTTTGATTTGTCTGTAATATTATATATTTTCCCAGTCATTTTAGCACTACACCGATACACTCTATTCTTATATGAGTCAATTATATTCATTTCTGTAAACCTCTTATCAGTTTTTAAAAATTTTGGTAATATTTGTAACAAATATTCGTTGTTTTCATTTCTATATCGACCGCAAAAATTAATGAATCCATCATTTGATAAGAAGAAAGTGATGGCACCTTTGGAGCAGATAGTCTTAATATCAGTCATGTCTGTAATGAGTTGTGGTTTCCATATATCCGATGAATTGTGTCCCAAATTATAGCAATCATTTCGACCCCAACTAAACACCTGTCCCTCAGATGTGATGGCAAATGAAGAGTAAACACAACAATAAATGCTTTTAATTTCGTGATTGGGATTGAAATTCACTCGAAATGGTTTCACTTTTCGTATATCACTGTCTGGTCCACAACCTAACTGTCCGAACATATTATAACCCCATCCATAGACATAACCATCACTCGTGAGAATCATTGTGTGATAATAACCACAACTTATTTGAATAATTGACTTATTATCGAAGTATTTATGATCAATAAGTTCTGGTTCTATGTATAAGTAATCCGATCCCTTGTGTGCCATACCTAACTGTCCCTTATTATTATGACCCCAACCATAGAGACAATTATGTTGAGTGAGGGCTAACACAAAGTCTCCTCCATAGAAGAATTGTGTGATATTCTTGTGACACAATCTG